ATCACATTTGTGCCTGTAGCAAGTACCGATTCCTGGAGTGGGAGTATAAATATTCTGTAGGGCAAAGGTCACGAACTGTTGGCTCAAGGGTCACATTGGGACCTCAGATATGTTTTAGTTGGTGTACCTGATTATGAGTGTATGTGTGTGTGTGTGTGTGTGTGTAATTGCCACCATTTGAAAATGAGGAGAATTCATATTTAAGAAAACCAGGGCTTATTTTGAAACATGACATGCACTGACAACACTGGACTTGCATTTCTGTCAGACAGCTGGTCTTGGACAGCAGCTGCCACCTTCAGGTGGGGGTGTACTCACCTGCTTGCCAAATTCTCTTGGGTAACCTGATTGGCCCACTGTAGGAATTTGCTATGACCCCCTCCCATATGGAGAATATATGTCCAGAATCTAAAGAGCACCCACTGATAGCAAATAAATACAGAAATAGCAACATTCAAGAAGAGAATGTAGAAATGATATACAATAAGTTGACAGTTGTAAAATTAGACCTCAGAGAAATGGAATATGTTGACATTGGGTGGGTTATTCCTCAAAAGTTTCATTGGAGGCAGGGGGTGTCTCAGGTCATAGGGTTTTGGCAGAGCCCCACTGACTCCACAATGTTTCAGCAATAAGAAGTCCCTCAGTTTGAATTAAGGAGCTCTGATGGGATAGTGGCTAAGGCATTCAGCTGCTAACCAGAAGGTTTGCATTTCAAACCCACCAGCTGCTCCATGGGAGAAAGACAAGGCAGTCTGCTTCTATAAAGATTTATGGACTTGGAAACCCTAATGGGGCAGTTTTACTATGTCCTAAAGGATCGCTTAAGTTGGAATTGACTTGATGGCAGTGGGTTTGGTTTTTAATTGGTTTAATGTTGTAGTTGAAATTGGCTCTATAGCATCTAAGAACAGAGCAACGATGTTGAAATATGAAGGCAGCTCCTATAAAAACTGAGTCGGAATACTCCGGGCTTACGGAAGTAAAGAGGTCCTTATGGTGATCTCAGAGTCAGCAATATTTGCTGTGATTTAACGGGTTTGGATTGCCAATGCTACCTCTGGAAAAGGTTTTTGGTTTCTTCCTTGTTCTTTTCCTCCCCACCTCCCCCAGGAGCAAAGCCTGCAGTTCACATGGATGCTGTGTGATAGACTGATCTCATAACTATTACTGAATGGACCAATCAGGCACATTCTAGCCATGAAAAGAACGTAACTTATGAGGATCATTCATCTTGGCTTAAGTTTCTTTCTGAAAAAAAAAGATATAAAAAAATAATTAAATTTATTGTTATTTCTCTTGAAAGTCTTGTTCCAGAACGTTTAGTTAGGTTTTTCTACTTTTTATAAGTGGGTGATTTACTCCCAGTATCAGGTGGAAATCTGGAACATAGACTTTTTTTTAAAATAACATTTATTGAGGTATGAATTTTATGAGGAGCGTCATGAAATTTATATCAAGTGTACAATTCAGTGAATTTTAATGAATATACTGAATTGTGCATCCATCACTATAATCCAGTTTTTGAATAGTTCAACCCAATAAAGCTTCCTTATACCCATTAATCCCCATCTCCATCCCCAACCCAAGACAACCACTAATCATTCAACTTTGTCTTTATACAGTTGCCTTTTCTACATACTTTCTATGAATGAACCATCTAGTGTGTGGTCTTTTGTGTTTGTCTTGTTCATTTAACATGTTTCTAGGTTCATCCATGTAGTAATTTATCTCTTTATCGAATAGTATTTCATTGTGTGGATGTACCACATTTTTTCCATTCACCAGTTGAAGTATATTTGGGTGGTTTCCTGTTTTGGGCTCTTAAGAATACCTCTGAACATTAGTGTGCAAGTGTTTGAACATATTATTTTCTTTTTCTTGGGTCGATGCCTGCAAGTGCAGTTGTTGGGTCATAAATTAAATTTTTGTTTATCTGTTTAAGAAACTGCCTAATAGTTCTCCACTGTGACTACATCATTTTATATGCCCACCAGCAATGTATGAGGTCTTATTTCTCTATACCCTCACCAATGCTTGTTTTTTCTGTCTTTTATTATCCTAGCAGATGAAGTGATATCTCTTTGTGGTTGTGGTTTGAACTTACTAATGATGTTGAGCGTCTTTTTATATGCTCATTAGCCATTCATATATAGCTTCTTTGGTGAAATACTTAGGAAATTTTTTATCCACTTTAAAAATTGGATTGTCTTATTGAGTTACAGTAATCCTGTGAAAGCTGGAACCTGTGTAAGAGGGAGACCTGTCAGAGAAGGAAAGCTCAATTATTTTCAACTAAATAACAGTAGAAAATGGTGACTGTACCCCGTCAAAGGCAGAAAACTTGTAAGACCTGGAAAAACAAGGTAGTCCCATTGAGTTCCGGCTCTCACAGGTTTCGCTGTGTAAGTCTTCATTTGTTCTGAGTCTAAGTCCTTTATCCAGGATGCATTTTCTGGCACTGTGTATTAGCCACAGAAGACAACTTCAAACCCTGCTGCACAATTTTTATCAAAAGCTTGGTTCCAGTAATTAATTATGGATAATTGGCCTGATGGGTATTTAATCTGGCTTATCACCTAAGTATTTAAATTCATTTTTGGATTAGTCAGATCATCAGAAGATTTTACACTTTCTTTTGGCTCCTTATGGAATTGCTTTTATTTAGTTGTATGTACCATTATGCCATTGGTGTACATTAATGGGTGTTAAAATGAGCCCTGTGAAACATCACGTTATAATGAAGACCTTGCTTTTAGAAACATTTCCTGGTAATGAGTCCCCATTGAAGAGACTTCTTTTAGTTCACAGGACAAGAGAAGGCTTCTTCAGTCAATGATGTAGCTTTTGAATCTTGTAACTGACCATGTTTCTTTGTATTGGTTTCAAGGGTGTTGAGGCACATTTGAAGCTCATCTGTAGTAAGTGTACAAAACGTAATTGCTTGTGCTTTGTGTACTAAGTTTCTCCCTGGTTTTACACTGTTTTTTCCTATTTGTATTTTCACCCCAGTCCCCATAGGTCATCACTTGTTCAAGTGACAAAAGTTAAGCTTACTCTTTGAAAGCTGTTTAAATCCTTTTAAGATTTTAGAACAAAACACAGGTATATATGGATATAAAGTCTGATCTTTTTTTCTTAAATTTCAAATTCCACGTTACTAGTCTGTGCCTGACATCCTCCAGAGTCTCCTTTTTTGTGTTCTAGGTGCCTCTCAAGCACAGTCTTGACAGCAGCAGGTTGGAAGGGTTCTGGGCGTTGAGGCCTCAATTCATGAGTAGTCAGTTTACCATCAGAAAATAATATACTCCACTTCCGCCATAACTAAAATAAACTGCTGATCACCATCACATTCCACTGTTTTAATTCCATCATGGGATTGTCAGAGATACGAGGCTTTCTTTTGTGTATGACCTACATCTTGAGTCTGGTTTATTTAGTTAATATTGAAATAGTTGTTGAGAGTATATTAAAACAATTGTCGAGTAGAGATCATACTCAACTGTATTTCTCTGATAATGAACAAAGCAGACAGGTTTTATAGTGAAAACTATGTTTGAGAATGTGTTTTAATTTCCAAATAATTTTGGTGTCTAATACAAAAACCCATGAGCCTCTGTAGCCACTCTTAAATCCAGTACCAGTTTAGCTGGAACAAATTTAACAAGATTCTACATAACATGATGAAGGCTTGAGAATACAGAATTTTTCCTTATGGTCTTAATCATTGCACTGGGAATTCACTGGACAGTTTCAGGCTGGGAGAACTAGTGTCCTTTGGTTCTGAGAAATCTTTGGTATTACTTGTTTAATAATTTCATCTTCATTTTCTCTTTCTTGTCCTTTTCAGCATTCATATTAGTCAGATATTACACTTCTTTGGATCTTGTAAATTTTGTCAGCTTTTTCTTCTTTTCTGTGTCTTTGCTTTTATCCTACTTTGTAGCAGAGTTCTTCAACTTTATCTTCTAACCCTACTGTTACTGTTTTGGATGTTTTATTTCTGTTCTCATGTTTTTATTTCTAAGTGCATTTTCTTATT